TGATGAAAAATGCAGTGGTTTGGGCATCAGCTCTAACCACTGCACCACCGTGCAGCCCGCATTACAGCAAGCAGGTTTCTGGTTCAAATCCCTAGTGCATGTGTTGGTGCTCTCTGGGTAGTCCGGCTTCCTCCCTCAGTCCAAAGACTTGCTCGTCAGGTTAATTGGTCACCCTAAGTTGCCCATACTGTAGGTGTCTTTTGCATTTTTGCCATATTGGCATTTTTTTTTGTCTTTTGTTCTGGCTTGACACAAAACCAGTCGCCCTTCGGGGACAAATAAAGTTGATTTGAGGTGTGAGTGTGAGAGTTTGTCAGTCTCCATGTGATTGTCTGGTGAGCAGTCCAATGCAAGTTAGGAACAGCTCCAGCCACCTTTGACTATGACTTTGCCAATATATTTTTAAATGTTATGTTGTGATGATGAATGTTGTATTTCAACTTGAGGGTATTACAGCATGTCACTCAATTTTGGTGGCTGTGTCTCAGTGGTAGAGTCGGTCGTTTCTCGAAGTTAGCCGAGTAAAGTTCTGCCACCGTGTTAACGTAATATAAATCACAACATTTCAAGAACATCAAGAAACGTTCCTGTTGGACACTTCCGGCACTTTGTCCATCTCCTTGGTTCCTCGTTCCTTGTCCATTTCTACTCGAGCAATAGAAACGAAAATAGAAACACTGCGTCAGGGTCAAAATGGCATGTGGCATCGTGCTGCTTCTAAGATTGGAATCTGACACCCGGCCGCTGCAATGAGAACTCGCCCACATAGCCTCGAGGATGTCTGGCACCCCCAGGACCTCCTGAATGAGTTTCATAGGTCTAACAACTCGAGAAGTCAGAATGGAATTTGTGTTAAGAATTGAAACTTTAGTTAAAGCTAAGTCATTGTTAGATGCCGGCCATGAGTTATGGGATTATGTAATGGTGGATTGCATTCCTCATCTTTTGTCCTCCACAAGGACTGTCAGAGCCTGAAACGCTAGCGAGGACTAGCCTCTATCCTATAAGTTTTATTGTCACTTGTTGTCAAGAATAAATATTCCATCTCAAGTGGATAAGAAGTCCTTCTACCTCATACATACCACATAACTTTCTCATCTCTAACTCGGATAAACTTCAAATTCCAGTGAAAGTAAAGTTACTAAAAGCTTCAGAGAAGCTACTTCACCTTGGACATGCTGATGCAATTGTTGTGAAAGTTCTCTCTGAAGCTGCAGCCTCTGTTAAAAGTTGATTAATTGTGATGTTCCTGGTTGAGGCTTTGGAAATATTGTGGTAATGGAATATACATATAAGTAGGCAAGCAACGCATTTTGTTTAAGTCTTGGAGAAGTTAAGGTTCGGGTTTGAAATAGAAAGATTCAGCACTGAGTTGAACTGAGACTCAAATTAATGAGCACCCAAGATTACATCGTACTGCAAAATGTGTGACTATGAAGATTTGCACACAAAAGGTAAAAGAAGACAGAGAGTCACAGGTAACCACATGAGAAAATCTAACAATGAACTGAGAACAGGAGGGAGGGAACACTGAGACTAATGCTGCATTCATGTGGTGTCGGACACATCGGAAAAACAAGTTTCCGAGTTGTAAAATGCACATATACACATGCTCAAGTTGGAAGAATTAGGTGCCCGACTTCCCGACTTGATATCAGAATCGTCATCAAGTGGGAGGGGAAAAATATGTTTTGTTAATGTTATCATACTTTTTATTAATTCAACTATTGTACATCAACTTTTTGCTCAAATATAACTTTTAACAGTTACATTTGAATGTTCTTCTTCGTAGCATCAAGGCTTTTTTGTGCTGTTGTTACATCATTCAGACTTCCCAAACTGAAATCACATGAACACACTGAAGTTGGAAGAATGACTTCCTAACTCGTAAAATTGGACCACCTGAGCAGCACATGAATACAGCATTAACAGACACAGGTGTGATCAAACACAGGTGAGACTAACGACACAGGTGAGGACACTCAGGGCAATCAAGACCAGAGGGAAACACACAGAGGCAGCCGAAGAAGAAAGACAAGAAACACTGAGGACAAGTAGAAAAATAAATACACGAAACACTAAAGACACACAGAGAACTCAAGAATGTAACAAAACACACTCGAACAGAGAGACAAGAATAAGAAATGACAAAAACAGGAAACATTGAAGACCAAACTAGTAAAACATCAACACTAGGAAAGGTAACTAACAAAACAAGGAATGAGCTGACTAAACAGAGTAGACTATGACACACTCACATGCACACCTACAGAGATTTAGAGTCACCAGTATAAGCAATTTAAAAGAGGACTGGGGGAGGAAGCCGGAGAGAACCCATGTATGCACAGGGAGAACATTCTCTCTCTCTCATTCTCGTCCCTCCTGCTCCCTCTCTTTTTTTTCTGTATCAGGTATTTATTGAGTTATACTGTTTCAGTGTTGTATTGGTAACTTTATCTTTGAATCATTGATTTGTATTGTATCAGTGTGATGGCCTTATAAAATGATTTCTTTAAATCTGTTATCCCATAAAGAACGAGGCCATTTGAGGCCAGACATGAAAATAAAAGATTCATTCATTTATTCAAACAAACTCACACAGAAAGGCATCTGCCCAGCTGGGGACTTGAACCAAGTACCTTCTTGCAGCGAGGTGGCAGGTGAAGCACTAATTTGAATATATGCACACCTACATATTCACCTATTTTTTTCTGTTTGTCTTAATCAATTTGGAGGTGATTTTGAATTATTATTTTTAATGTTCTTATAAAGCTGTATGAAACGTTTTGTGTTTTCTCCGTGTGTGAGGCACTTCGGGCTGGATGAAAGTGATACATATAGACGGTTCAGGAACTCAGATTTATATTCAACGAGGACTTCATGAGCCGCTCTTCACACAGAATAGGAGAAAGCTCCGCCTTCAATAAGAAGTCGAGGATGCTAATGTATAGCTGCCGGTCTTTACAAATGACTGAGGCTTCACTGCCTGGAGCTGCCGACACTTTCTTTCATTGACATGAACACGCAGTGCGCTGAAAGGAGAAGTTGTGAGGTGTGTAAAGACGCTTTGACGGGCGAGTTCTCCTCTGGTTAGATTCAGAGAGAGGGGATTCAGGGACACGCGGAGTCTGGAAGCTTCTCCCATAAATCAAAACGTGCTTTCTTTAATTGGTAAGATAAACTAAATTCATCAGTAATCACATTTCAGTAACAAATGGAGAATTGTTCACACAGTCACATGCTGTTTACTGATCCGATCAGACCCAGCAGGTTTTCACATAGACCCGTTCACATACTATAGACCAGGACGCTGCTGCAGTCTTCAAGCAGGATCTTGAATTTCTGGCTTCTTTTCAGAAAGAGGTGTGGTCAGAATATTGCTATTAATATCCCTTTATTATGATTGACTCACTCTATAGGCCTTTTCAGGGGAAATATTTTGACATGTAAAAGCAAGAAAAACCCAAGTTAACCTCTATCCTATAAGTGGATGTTACCTCAGGAGCCAAGGTGTGCCAGTGCAGGTGGCAGCCTCACACACCTGAGAGCTTTAGTGAGGACTTTTCATTTGGTTTCCATCTTAGTGATCCCACATTTTCAGAAAGCTAAGGAACCAGGGGCCAGACAAGCGAGCCCACCACAGCAGTTTTTTCCATCAACAACAAAAGCTTGTGATAGGCTGCGAGCACAGGACCAAAGATGTTCTATTAAACAGGAGCGCTCTTATGTTTTTAACACTGTACTGTGGCAACAATGACAGTCCTTCACAAGTTTTCCCACCTTGTTTATTATTTATTTATTTTATAATTGTAAATAGAAATGATCCGCGGGCCAGTCTAAGGTCATCAGGGGGCCGCAGTTGGTCCATGGGCCGCCACTTGAATGCTGGCCTGCTGTAGACCAATCACAAATGTTATCTTTTTGCTGATCTTGTCGTGTATGTAAAGAGTATTGTGTAATGAAAAAATCCTCCTACTGTCTTTTTACAGTCACATGTGTCTCTGTAAAAATTTAAACATATTAATAAAAGTTGATACGTTGATTTATTGTGTTAGTGCAACAAAATCTGGACTTTTAAAATACATGTAAAGATGTCAGTCCAGCTGTCGTACAAAGAGTTTTTTTTTAAGTCTGACTAACTGCTAGTGAGGTTTGGGGTTTGATTTACAGGTTCCCATGCCGGACTTTGACCCGGAAGTGAAACATCTTATCGGGAGAGTCGCCAAGGAAACAAGACGAAGGTATGAACATGGAGAGTGCTAGAATGAGAACCATGCATCTTTGGACAGACGAGGAGACACAGTTCATGCTGTGTCAGCTGAAGATTGAAACATATTGAATTTAGGATGGAAAGAAAAATGAACTGCTATGTGGAATGAATAGGGCAACATGGAAAGGTAACATTAAAGGGGGAGTATCGCCACCTCGCAGAGTCAGACATACTGAGAATAAAGTAAACCCAACCGAGTCCCTGTTGTCATTTGTCTGTTTTTTTGCATTCATTCAATTGAGGGTGCAGAAATTTAAAATGAGGGCAGCCTTTTGCTCCCTCGTAGAACCTGGCTTAGAAAGGACAGTGGATAGAGTCAGATATCAGAGAGAGAGAGAGAGCGAGAGGGGAGAGGGGGGAGAGGGGATGACCTGCAAGAAAGAAGCCACAGGTGGACCATCTGCTAGGATCACCACAGCCTCCATACCTGGGTATGCTACAAGCTAGGAATCATTTTAACTGTTTTTTTTTTATTTGTGGTATTTAAAATGTGTTCTCTAAGTTTGAAGATCTTCAGTGACAGTTGAGTGTTTTAACAGTAGAGATTTTTTGCTGATATAAAAACATGATCTATTGTTTGAAATAACCATTAACTGGTGGCTGTACAAGAACCCTGGAAAGATGCCCAATGATCCCAGAGGCTTTATTGTCGTCAGAAGAAAGCTGATTGGCTAACTAGAATTTAAAACATGTAAAATCTCTGAAAAAAAAAAAAAACAATAAATTATAGAACATTAACACTCATCGGTTATATTTAAATACATATTGATGTGACGCTTAACACTTATTGGACCATTGATTTAGTAAACATTTTGAATGTGATGTTTAAATGACGAGAGCAGGAAGTGCTGTTTCACACATCCTGTGGCAGCGCTCCAATCAGCGGTGTGTGTTTGTACATGTGAGTGTATCAGCAGTGAACTGTATGATTTGTGGACAAAGTGAAATAAAAAGCAGCTTTGTAACGTTATTCCTGAGGACCGAGAATTCAACTAACCCTCTGCATGCTTAAGTAAATAAGCTGAAATGGAAACTTGTTTTCCATCAGATCTGTGGGGCTCACTGAATAAGCATGCAAATAACCGACTTATGGCTTTTATGATCGGGCTCAGTTTTTGTGGCTTCATGCAACTCTGCTAAATGTGGGAACAATTAATGTGTTTCTGGCATGAGGCTGATCTCAAGATGCCAAATAGGCTTATCGGCATACTGACTGTGGTAAAACACATATTTTAAAAAATCACAGTGATTGCAGAACTTAAGGACTCACTTTGCAGCTCCAAGAAGAAACAAACAATGGGAGGCTCATTTATCTGCTTATTCTATATGCCTTCATTTCCAGCATGGATTTGTATTGTGTGACAAAGGAGGACAGCTGCTTCTGGTTTTGAACATTTCTGGTCCTCTTTCCTCTGATTCTAGCTCAACATCAGTCCAAAATATTCCTCTTTCTTCTCAAAGTAGTAGTTGAGTCGTGACATGGCATACCTAAAAAAGAGAGCAGAGAAGAGCAGAACATCAAAAAATAACATTTTATTTGTACAAATCTGTGAATCTAAAAGAAGTCTTTATAACAATCCACTGTTGCTAAACTTTCTAAGTAGTTTAAGTGTTGTTTTCTGTCATAATCCTGTCTAGCTTTATGTGTGGGGCGGCTGTGGCTCAGTGGCCTTCTCAACTGGAACGTTGGGGGTTCAATCCCCAGCTCCTGCAGCCACATTTCCGATGTGTACTTGGGCAAGACACTTAACCTGAAGTTGCTCCCGCTGCCTCGTCAGCGTTGTATGAATGCGTATGAATGGGATCAGTTAATGATGGAGACTTTCCATAGCAGCCTCTACCATCAGTGTGTGAATGTGGAGGTTTGACCTGTGGTGTAAGGGTTCACGCATCACCCATAAAAGTCCAGTTCGTTTGACTAGCGTATTGAGCATGGTATGGGACATCTGGGCCTAGTGTAAGTGAACCCTAAAAGTGCTTAGCGTAGTAAGAAAACTAGAGAGGCGCTATACACACTCAAGTCCATTTACCATTTGCCTTTCTGTTCGATTTTCAGTGAATTCAGGAATTAATTAAAGTCCTGTTTCTGTGAATATCACAGTGCTTTTCATATTAAATATTTAACAGAGAATTAAAAAATCAGGTTCTGTGTGTTGTTCAAAAAGTAACTGAGGAAAGCCATTGTAGTTTTTTTGACCTTGATCAAAACTCATGTTCATCAAATTCTTCTCTAAAATGCAAAATACTTTGTGCTATCGGCAGCCTAGATATGCAATTTAAAACTTTCTAAATGAATGAATGGAGTTGTATTGCCAGTGTCTGTGGCAGGCCCCTGAAAGAACAGAATATGATTTAAAAATCAATGTATGCACATTTGATCATGACTGTTAGCACTAGCCTCCTAGCTAACATTAGCTCCCTCTGCCTGGCTCCCATCGGCCTTTGGAGCTGACTGAAATAAGTTTGCTAACAAGTTTTCGTTGGGCCAGCTCCCTCCCTTTCGTCTTTTTCTTTTCTAGCCTATCCTAACTTTGTGCAGGTCCTGGAATGGCTAAACTCAACAGAGAGAACTCCCTTGATTCCCCTTTGTTATTGCTTTGATCGAGAGCCCCCTGGCGGTAGAATTTACATACTGTTTGTTTAAAGAGCGATGTCTGATGAAGGTCTAGGGGCCCGAGGCGTCACAACTGGTGATGAGTTACATTAAACGTTAATCAGAGCATCTTCTGGTGTGCGGACTTAGTCTTCCTTCTGTCTCTTAAAGAGCAAACCAGCTGTCGGAAATGTACTCGAGCATTAGATTCATAATGAAGTACTCTGTCTGTTTATGATGATTTCTTCAGGTCATAAAAGATTTGAGGTTTTCTTTGCTGCAGTTTCCCTTTACCTCAAAGTCATCCGGGAGAACTTTCTACTTTGTGAGGAGGAATATTTGTATGGCCATTGACATGAACCTTGCTTATTATAAGTGTCAAATGTTGTGTGCGCATCTTGCCGTCAGTGTCTTTAATAGAAAAGATGTAAGAAATAATGGCATACATTCAAAAAGTGTAGACGTATTCATTGTTTCCTGTGTCGTTGACAGGTCACACTGCCGGCCCCGTTAATAGCTCAACGTGGGCAGTATGTTTTCTTTTTTCTTTTTTCTTTTTTTTCATAACTTGCATAACAATAAAGCATTAAAAACCTCGTTTCAATTAAAGCGCACAGACTGAAAGCTGTGTCAAAGCCTTGTCGCGTTTCAGAACTTAACTGTGAGGAAAGTGGTTTTGTATTTGTTCAAACCATATTATCGAAGGCTTCAATAAATCTGATGTCTGAGTACGCTGCTGCCCTTGGCCATTATACTATCCCCATTGAAATTAAGTGAAGTTTCAAAAGCACAGGAAAGAGAGGCACAGAGAGGAGTTTGTCCTTTAATCAGTGCTTTTACTGAACTCCTCAATGCCAAATCGGTTTTCTCTCTCGTAGCGCGCACCGAGACAAAAAGATAATTCTGACACATGCCTTTTAGTTACTTGTGTTCCGTCGCTCTGTTCCCCACCTGTAGCTCTACAGCAAACCACTCTCTAATTATTGTGTCAGACTCTGGTGTCTGTTGTCTGCGCTCTGCAGACTTGTTTCTTTACACCTGTAGCTTGTTGATGGAGGTAGCTGGTGCAGAGTGTGTCTGATCACTGCCACTGGAAAAAAAAGTTGGGAAATTTCAAGTCCTCAGCGGTAGCCTGCAGACGTTTTCACAGCTTTAATCGTTGTTGGAGATACTCAGAGGACAAACTTAATATATGGAAAACCTCACGCATGCTGCATCTTATGATTGACAGCTTTCTAATAGCAACACAAATCTTTCCTTAGCTTAACACAATTAAAGCCTGGTTATCCATATCAGATGCTCTTTATTCAGTCCATTTGTTCAGTTTGACGCATTCTTGCAGCGTGCTCTGTTGAAAATTGACTCTGTGCATATTTGCGTCGTAATAGAGCAAAGTGGGACCGCGACACGTACTGTGGAAACACAAACATTGACAAGAGAGGGCGCAACTAGCCTCGAGCTCTCCGGAGACGGAAGGTGTTACACATGGATCCTCTAGAAACTGCCAGATTCTTTTCAAACCTTGCTAGCTTTCCAGAATTACCAACCCTGCCTTTAAAATACAGAAATAAATGTAACGTCGGCTTGTTCACAAAGCTCATGAAAGCAAAAAGCTGTCCATAGTACTTCGTGTTGTTAGTCTAATAATGTGTCAACCCACACTCTTCCTAAGTAGAATCATACTTGAGTATACGTCTTTAATAGAACTGCAGCCTTCACAGGGGATCCCATTCATCCTTATTTTGATTAAGAGTGACACCTTAAACTAGCAGGCTTAACATTTATCATCATCACAGATGAAACTGAGACGTTTTCCTCTTTAGCACAAGTGGGGGAAAGTGAACTCCCTCAAAAGCAGGTATTCCATTTCACAATGTGCTTTTGTGCACAATTCCCTCAATTTAGCAGTCGGGCTTCTCCAAACAGTGGGCCTCCTCCTTCTTCATTTCCTCATAATAATGTCTTTGTCAAACAGCCGCTCACCTCGCCAACACGTCCACAAATCTAAACCGCTGACTCGCAGACACTTTCAACACATGAATAAAATCATATAAAGAAAAGTAAATAATGAGCGCAGAGGGAGGGAGGCTTGCATTCCCCTTGTGGCTCCCTATTGTCACTTCTACATCTGGCTCTGGTTAGAGCACAAGGCCTCGACGACGCCTGTCACTCGTTGGGAAGTCGGCAAGGACTTGGCTCAGGGGGAAAACAGTGGGAGGAAAACATAAACACACACACGCACAAAGACACACACATATTTCCAGGGTTTAACTCTAACTTCCTATCTGTTGCCTTTTCATCACAAAAGCTTGAAATGCAGTGTGTTGTGTGTTCTCCCTCCAGTTGTGGAGAAGAAACCCCAGCTTGGTTAACTCTGAGTAAGGCTGTGGTTATGACAAGAAAATTATGGTTAAAGCTGAATTAATCATGATATTTAAACCAAATCAAATGACTGTGTTTAATGCCGAAAAATGTCTCTTGCAGTAATCAACCCACAAAAACAAAAACAAAATCCAAATCTGCAGAACATTTACAGCAAATATACTTTCTGGTTCCATCTCATTGCCTCATAACTCTGTTTTCACAACGATAAGTAGACGGTTTGAATGATGTGGAAGGCTTTGATTCCCTCACTGAACTTAATCTGCACTTATTAGAATACTTAAAGGTAGTTTGAGTTTATAAAGAAAACCATGCATCGAATCACATTTAGCATCTCTGTGTGATAGCAGCTTGTTTTATAGAAGTCATGACCATCTAAAATGAGTGAGAAGTGTGAGTCCTGCTGGCTGTGGTGTTGTTGTTGGGGCGTGTTTACATCATGTGTACATGGACTGGACGGCCTTGTGTATAAAGCTGTTTGAGTCCAGGACTAGACAAACTGACGTTGTTTTTGCACTTTTGCATTGTCTTCATTTTTCAAAATCAGAGGCTGCAGCTTCTCCCTATTTATCTGCCTTTTGCTAACATATGCTAGCTAATGGCTAAAATTGACAAAAAAAAAAGGTCTGCAGATGCGCATATGTTCCCTTTACCTCCGGGGTGCAGCTCAGATGCTGCTTGAGTGCAAGGCATCCAGGTTCATGTAGACAGCATTGATCCAGAAGCAGGCGAAATCAGTTTTCTTAGCCAGCAAAACACATGCTTAAGAAGTTATTGCTTGGATTGTCTACATTAACTTCACTATGCAATTGGTTTATAAACTCAGGACAAGAATATTGACAGTCGACAGCACTCTTGACAGAACTTTAACTAATCAGAACAGGACAAGAAAAGAAAGAGAGGCTGACAGAGAACACGGGTAGACAGAAATGTCCTCTCAGTTTAGGTAGCGTCTCACACATTCAGAAAACAAAGTTGTATTGGCAAGCAACCAGAAGCTAACAATGTTGCCCCCCTGTCTTTCGCTTGTGAAGTGAAACACTGATGCTAGCTACCTTTGCTCCTTCCTTTGGTTCTTCCCTTTTCTTTTACTTCTCATTATTGCACACGATCCAGCGCTACCAAAGAGAAAAAAACAACTCTTTAAAGTGGACAAGCTCGCTAACTGTGAAGAGTAAGTAAGCTACATTTTGAATCCGGTCGTGACCTGCCCTTTATGCATCCAATTAAAACATCCTCTGTAAGAACATTTACAGAACAAAAAGAGGAAGCAACATTACTTACTGCTCTGCCATTGAATTGGAATGAAGCATGTTGCTTTATGCTGTTTAAAAAAAAAAAGCAAAGGACCATTTATGAAGATTATGTTCTGGTGTGTGCTCTTTGTAAATGTATTTAAATGAAAGGATGAAAGGAAGGACAAACTTGACCGTTGCCATCCGTATTGTCTCTTTCTTTACTACTTGATAGATCTTTTTTGAAAATAGTGTTGGCAAATGTAACTAGTATATAATGTGTGTATCCTCCATGTGTGTATTGTGGTACTTTGCAGGTTTTCAGGGTAGCGATACCTTTGAATCCACATCATTAATGTTGTTTTCATTTTTGTTGAGTTCATTTCAGCCCAGCCTTCCAGCAGAAGAAAAGGTAACCCGACCCTCATCGTGCACTTTAGGACAACCTCATGCCGGCGGCTTAGAGGAGCAGACGTCTAGCAGGCGCATGTGGCCCAGCCAGGGATGAGAGACGTATATGTAAGGGAGGACGGACGGCACGGGAACAATAGTGCCTCTGTGCCTCGGCACCCCTCTGGATCACATTTCCTCTGGGGTCCGGATCGAAATGAAGCGGGGGCCCTGTCGCTGATCTAGCAAGCGTGCAGAGAAAGCCACACAGAGGGGAGGGTGCCGTATGTCAATAGTGATTAGGATCACGATCACAACTGTGGCGGGTGTGGGGCGCGCAGAGAAGGGAGAGAGGAAGAAAGAGAGGGGGAGAAGGGAAACATTTTGCCCTCCTGAACTTTATTGTCTGGCTGCAAGAAGTGAGGAATGTCTCCTCCTGGACTTGTTTAAAGATAATTGCCCTGTGTGGATCATAATATACGCAAATAGAAAGTATATTTGTTTGGAATTATTTTCAGGAAGTTTGTGGAAAAGCTCAGCCTTTCATAACTTGGTAATTTTAAAGGTAAATCATATGTATGTAAAAAAATGTTAATTAATCTGTTTGCAGAAGCCACAAGACGAACAGAACAAAAAAAAACTGTGCTCGTCCTGCCTGCTTTCTGCCCAGTTTTGGGTACACCGAGTCTTGAAAATTCGAGTTAAGGGTGGAAGTGGGAATGAAACATTTTTTACACTATGGGCCGAAGTTTCCAGACCTTTGAAGGAATTCTTGGCTGACATAATTCTCTGTAAAACAATCCTAATGATGATACTGTTTTTATAAACATTGCAATTAAATTATGACTGCTTGAGTTCAGGGAGCGAGATACTATATATTTAATTAGAGATGAAGTCATGAGGTATCCTTTTTTGTGGTTGCATGTGTTTCAACATTAAACAGCTGTAGGTGTTAATGTGAAGGTTGTGCTTTGTGTCAGGAGGACAACATCGATTTAAAATTTGTATGAACAAAATATCAGAATCGCAGAGCTTTAGGAAACTGGAACAATGTTAATGCAAAGTGACACCAAGACGCAAGCCTCCAACCGTGGACACATGGTAAAGGTTTTTTTCTTTCTGTTTCATGGGACCTTTGAGTCGTCCATGTCTGAAATAAAACCCCACAAACCTTTGGAAGTCAAAGTCAATTGAGGAGAAGCGTGATTGCAGGATGGCCCAAAGACCCCAGAAGAAGTTGGATGCCTAGTGGGGAGAGAAAAACAACATTAAAGGACCAGATCAGTTGTTTTGTTATGTTTTACACTAGCATTTTGTAAGTTTTAGATGTTTCAAAATATTTTAAAATATGTCTTAAATATCTGTATAAAACTCTAAAATAAAGTATTATTTGTTTAGTGACAGTAAAGTGATCTGCTAACTCTGTGAAATAGACTGTATCCGTTGTAGCTGCTGCAGTAGGGGGCAATCATAAATTGCATTAAATCAAAGCACTCTTGCGATAATTGCTTGTGATATTTCATTTATTTGGACCCTTCTCCCAGGGTAGCAACTACTCCTCTCAGGGCCAACACATTTAAACCTGACATTAAATTATACCAGAGTTATCTGATTAAAATTCCAAGGTTAAAGGAGTAGAAATAAAAAGATGACATAAAAATGATGATAATAAAAAGCAGGTTTTCAATTTGAATCAATATTAATTCAAATGTAAATTAAATATTCATTTAGATTGACATGGACAAAATGCAATTTATTCTCCCTCCCTATTTAAAACAATTCCTCAGTTGATACTGCTTGAAAATAACTTGTTGTATCATCTGCATAAAGACACATTTTTTTCATCATTTAGAAAAGGAGGACAATCATTGCTGACGGAAGAGAATAGAAATGGTCCTAAACCACTTCCTTGAGGTATACCATATTGTAACACTTTCACATTTTGTAAATAACCGTTACAAAATCCATAATGTTTTATTAGACTGGTCTGGTAACTTTTAACCATCTAAGTATAACAATTAAGTTGAGAATATCTATGTGTTGCCATTCTTTCCACTTTGACAGTGTTTTTGAACATATATTTGGGTAACCTGAGTGTCTACCGACCCACAAAATGTGAAATAAATCCATCCAATCCTTTGTTTGTGGTCTGCATAAGTCTTACAATGCTGAGAAAAGTGCTCCGTTTCAAATTTGCTCTCCTTGTGATGTCACAGTGGGATTCTGGTAAAAAAAATACCTTCCCCTCCCCTGATATCTCCACTCATGGACTCCACCCTCAGCCTAGAACTAAACTTTTGCGCAGGTCCGCCATTTTTATTCTTGCTACAGAGGAGTGATGTCTACCAGGAAAACTGAGGGGGGGCTCAGTGCATTTAAAGAGACACACACACCAAAACGGAGCGTTCTGAGAGAGCTGGTTTATACAGGGTCACAAACCTCCTCTGGTACTTGACTCATGTTATATTTTGACCAAAGCACAGCACAGATGTTTCATTCAGACCACAGGGGACTGTTTGAAAAGGGGGATAATATGTCCTCTTGTACATATGATTAGAGGAGGTAAAGGGTAATTAAACCAATTGATGATGTGTACATACAAACTTCATACCCCCTTGCATAAGTCAGTTCCCGATTTGGGCCACCGCAGACAAAAAAGTCTGGACATGCCCTGGTCTGATAGACATAAAATTACTAAATAATATTTGATACTGTCTTTACAGATCAGAAGAGAAGACTATGACTGACATAGACATCTACATGCAAATAGGTCCTTTCCATAATCTGGTTCAGGCTTAAAGAAAAACATCTCTTTTCCCCCTCTGCAGGGAGGGAGGAGGTCACTGTGGGGTCAGATGATTCGCCTGAAACACTTGAGCCAAAGCTTAATGTCAGAGAGTGAACTGGAGCCCTCTTATTGAATAACAGACTCATAAATAACCACATTTATCTTGTCCGTGATACTCCTGTGAGGCTGTGTGTTACCAAAGCGTATAAAGGAAAAGTGCAAACCCTGGATTATTTTTTGTTTTGTCACTTTAGAAAAATGTGTTGATGTGTGGTTCCACTGGCGTTATGCTTTGTTGATCTTTGATGTTGTGTTACTTTCTCCTGTGCCACAGAGCAGAACTGTAAAAACACACTCGAGTGGCCTCCAGTTGTCGTGTATAACGGCTCCCCTAACTGATGCTGCTGCTTGCCAGTTGTAGCTGCTCCGTCAGAATGACAAACCTCTGTATTGAATGGTTCCCTCCTTAATGGCTTTGCTCACTTAGGATTGCGGACTTCCATGCCTCCATAAATTTCTGTTGTTCTCCACCCTTATTGTAAATCTTCATGGTAGGACCACTAATAGCAAGTCCTAATAAGATCCAGACAGGCCTCTGTTCTGCGGCCCAGTGATATAATCACATTTTTATTTGATAATCAAATAAAGGGTGGAATGAAATACTTGAAGAGCGATGTGCGGTTTTCCCTTGGCTTTCTCCCCTCACTGGCAGATTTTCATCTCTAATCTCTGTCTTTGGTAGGAGGGAGAGATCGAGCGTGTTTCCATTATGATTAATAACTGCTCTCCATTAAGAGAGCATTACTCTAACACTAAGCAGAGACCAGCAGTGACAGGGACTCATTGAGAAAAAAAGCAGAGATGAGAGGCGTGTGGGGGGGTGACATCACAGAGCCGCGGGCCTCAGCCTCCACATGACGGGGATCCCTGGCGAGGAGAGGACGAGTGGTAAAGACTCACTGCGACTTGGCACAGTTTGCCAGAGATTACGATGTGAAGGAGGCAGCTTCACGGCACGCCGCACAAGCTTTGGCACCGGGCCAGGCTTTGTGGATGGCACACAGTGCAGACACATAACTTCCCTCAGAGCAGACTGGTTTCATTGGTGCCTGATTTAAAAAAATTTTTTTTACTATTCATCTGTATTCTCCTCTACGGAGTCTTAACTATAGAGTGAATTCAATGTAGTTTGATTATTGCAATTATCAAGAGCTATGACAGCGATGCACACGATAAGGTGCCTTTTAATCCTCTTCACAAAAGAGGGGAAAAAAAATAAATCGACAACTATTTAAAAAGCCATCAGACTGAATTGTTAATTATGACAGTTTTGGAAATGTTCCAAAGGCCATTACAGATAACCAATATATCATCTGTTGTGCCAGATGTGCTATGAAATAGGGGTGGGACAAAATATCAATACGGCAATGTATCGTCTTCCTGACTCGTGTGGTAGCATTGTCAAATCGCTGGTGCCAAATATCCATTTTTTTTTATTTTTTTTTTAAAGACCAACACTCTGAAAAGATTTCCTTGCCAATTTGACTCACTGTGGACATCAAAAAGCCCCAGCAGTATTTGTTGTATAAACAGAGGTGCTGCTTTTCAACAGGCAAGGCAGCCAACTGCTTGTGGCCCCAGACCAGTAGGGGGCCCCAAAGCAAATTTGGCAATGACGGTAGGAAACCTCCCTAAGGGGGCCCCATCTGACAGACCTCATTCTCGTTGCCCTGATGAATGTTGGTTGGAGGGCCCCCCCAATTGATTTTTGCTTTGGGCCCCAACAGGCTCTAGAATTGTGACTGAGTACAAGGATCAACTTTATAAACTAATTAGACTGAGGTGTTTCTGCTCATTGTCTTCATCAGGGTCATCGAGGCCACGAGCCGAAATTCGTCAGAATAATTAGTTAATAAAGTAAAGTAAAATATTAATTCTAATTTATGAAGCGATAGCCCCTTGAGAAGCATCACCTAATTTTCGAAGGGCGTCCTAACACAAATACAAAGTAACACACAAGCATACAAAACAGGATTACTTAACAGACATAAATACAAATACACAAAGCTCTCTCTCAACCTCTCCCAACCCCCTCCACCCCCTCCTTTTCCCACCCCACCCCCAGCTCTCAGCTGTTAAACAAGACCAGGTTCAGAAATAGAGTACAACACTGAGCGTGTTTACATGGACTTGAGTATCCCGGTTAGGAGCCTTGATCATATTTAGGATATGATGTTTACATGCAAAACAAATTATTCTAGTCTGAAGGAGCTTTATGTTTAAATGACCTGCTACCTATTTCTTTATGGATTCTGAGAATGGTGAAAAGGGATGGTTCATGTGTCTGAGTGGATGTGAGGATGTGTGTGGAACCAAGAAGTGTTTGAGTTATGACGGAACATGAAAACACATTTTGATTTCACTGCGTCGCTCCTTAATGACTTCTCACCATGGTGCTTATCAAATGAACGAGAGTAAAGTGAACAGAAGCTGACAGCAGGATGATACGGAGCCCCAGAAGTCCCAAATAAAGAAAATATCAATTACTGTATTGTTGACTGTTTGGGACTTCAGAGGCTCTGTCTGATTATATTGGAGAGTAAAAAGAAGTGAAAAGATGAGGCATGAAACGAGGTGAAGGTGACACCAAATGAATTGATAAAAACATAAATAATTGTTACCCTTTGAGGGGCATTTTGTACCCCTCCATTATTCAGATATTGTGCTGTATCATGTTAGGATTGTCTCGACATCAATTATCAGAGAATAACTTGTGTTGTGATATCGTTATCATCGTCCACGTTTCATGAGTTTTGCTCTGATTCCAAACTTCAACTACAATGAAATAATTTAAACGTCGGAGTCGGATCGTTGAAAGTCAAAGAGCACAGAATAAATGTTTGATCTTTAAAATGTCAGAAATAGTGAGGCGGGCACAAGGTGAATTATTTTTCTTATATTTAGTTTTTCAAAATGATGGAAAAACTAAACCCTGATAGGGCAGGATAAAACACATAAAGACAACCATATTCAACAAAACAAAAAACCAAACATAAACAAACAAACAATAAAAGACAAAAGTGATATCCTCGTTCTGTGATGACCTGACCGATCACACCTCGGATCAGCAGCTGCCTCTCAACAGGACAGAGACGTGGAAGGAGAGGGGGTGGGGGATATCTATTCTATCATGGTTATAAAAATGATAAAGAATACAGATTGATCCATATACATACCTACACTACATGTACTCATATGAATGTTCAGTCATAAATAAACAAATGAATTTGCCACATATATATTGGTTTCAAATTGTGGTATAAAGATGGGGAATTTCTTGAAATAGATTTTTTTTTCTCTCTGACAAACTCCAAAAGCTCAAAGAGCTACAGGTGGAAGCGATGATTATTCCATTAGAGAAGAATCACAGAGGAAAGAGAAAAGAGAAAGGTCAGCACACTGTTCAGTTCTCAGTGAGCGACTTTAAACAGGGCAACATTTCACTGGCAATTCTTGGTCTGCTTCCTCACTGTCTATGTGTTTTTATCATGCAGAAGAGTACCGGACAGTATTATTTGCATTCTCAGGACCTCTTTATGCTCTCTGTCCCAAACGCTCGGACAGAAATTGAGAAAAAGGGCTTTGGGGTTTTTCTGCACAGTGACTTCAAACTCAAGGAGCTGATGTCCTTACATTTTTTTTTAATCTAAAATGAAACAGATTCTAAAGGATGCTGATGTTTTTAGCTCGACTGCTTGAACTACTGACTCCTAGATTTGACTCAAAGATGGATCTCTCTTAATGTAAATTTTAGAATTTTGTAAATTGTTCCTTGTCTCTCTTTGTGTCTCGGTCTGTAACTTTGTGTTATTTTGCTGCTGCCTGTATCGGCCATTTCTCCCTTGAAAAAGAGGTTTTTAATCTCAATGGGACCAACCTGGTTAAATAAATGTTAAATTAAATGAACTAAAATAAAATAAAAATAGATCTTCTTCAGGCTCATTGGGAACTGAACAGTGTGCAGACCTTTCTCTCTGTAGTTCATACTCTGTTTGTCCTGCACCTGTACTGTGCTAAAATGTCAATCTTATAGCAAGAGTATATCAGTCAAAGTTTATCATTACACTTAACACAAACAATGTTCACCGTTCGGGTCCATATTTCAAGATATTAGTTGGATAAAAAGTCCTGACTTGTTTGTAAAAAGTCAAACTGGCTATGAGCTCTGCAAGTTTAGAAGAATTTACAGAAGGTTCCTGAATGTGATGTTTGATTTAAAGAAACCTCACTTCAGGACATTTTGTTTTCCGCTTTGGCCGACAGTTTCACCCATTTACAAATAAATCCAGGTCTCATTTTCCACTTCTAATATGTTGACATAAGATGTTTCTCGGGCCCTCTCAGGTGGATGTGGCTTTAATGAAGTTTAATGAAAAGAAATGAGACATACACACTTGCTTAGATTTGACTTTGTTGCACAGATTTTTAGCTGTTTGATCGATAAAATCCACTTAAGTAAAAAGTCATCTTTGCATTCACCCAGAGCCCCGAGAAGAATTCTTGAAATATCTTGTTTTCTTTGACATACCCTCTAAAACACAAATGATCGATGCTCCATCATAGAAAACAGAGAGCACATAGACCCTTTTAGGGGACAGAGTTTTTGGTCCTTTGTTTGTATTTAGGCCGTGAAGATCACTGAGGAGGAAAACTGTTGGATATTTAGGAATCAGAAGCCTTTGCTGTCGGACAATGAAATATAAATGCTTCACCTTAAAGTGAATGAACAAACAGGGAGCCATGAGCAGCAAAACCCCCTGTGAGAAGAGAGACGATGTGCATACATATATATATATGAAGATTTACAGCTCATATAATGCACTGTAAAAAAAAGAACTGCCATGTGTAAAAAATATCAATAAATAAATATCAATCAGGCAGAAATGTAAATATTGCACATCTCTGAGGGAGAGCATTTTGGCTTGAAACATCACTGAATAAATCCTTCACAGCTTCTTGGTGTGCCGACCGTGTCTTGCTTTTCTTTTTTACCTTTTTGTGTTTTTTAGATCCAGCACCCACTGAGGGATGTGTGTGTCTTTTTTGATTTTTCTATATTGCACTGGTAAGTAATATGTACTCTGTAGCAGATATATAAATGTATATGTGTGTATAGCTGAGATTAAAAGTGTAAACAGTACAGGTAGGATTTTGTATTTTTAACCTTTTATTCACAACATAAAGAAACCGAGTAATAAAAAGCTTTGAGGGTAAAATGGTAATATATAAAGTCTACATAAATACTACATTTAAGAGGGAGCATGTGGTGATATTTGTGAATGTGTTTGAAGAAGGATGTTTCAGTTTGAGTCCCTGAAATGATAAAAAAATAAAATATTTATTTTCTCAATTAACAGGCTCAGTCTCCCTCGCTTTGACAAGCTGCTCGTCAGAACGAGTCGAGCTGGAAACTTGGCCCGTTTAGCGTCAGTGATCAATTTCTCTCCCGTCTTCCCCCGAGCCGAGTCGTCCTCGGTTTGTCATAGAAAATCTGATTTCAATCAACATGATGTTATCGCCTCCCTCGCTCCATTCCAGGCTTTATTTCTTTTCCCTCCTTGCGCTGCTCCCTGTCTGCGTTTTGGCCGGGGGAGCGAGTTATTTTAAAAAGTAATATGCTTCCTCATCATTTCTGGGCTATTTCAAGAGACATTCACACCAGCCCAAAATTGCTGGGACAATTCTGCGTATTGTGTCGAGCTCTGAAAGCACTTTGAGACTGATAGCCCGGCACCACTTGAGCCACCAAAGAATGAAAATTGTGGTCATAAGAAAAATAATTCTGGCTGCTGTCTTTCATTTTTCCCTGCGGCAGCTTCTAATCAACTCGGATGGAGTCCATCAAAGTTTGGTGGGTCAGCTGCGGAGCTGCTTTGGATTTCTTTGGGGATCCTTTTTTTTTCTTTTCAGGGTGCTGGAAAAGTAAATTGTTAAAATGTGATGGCGGGGTGTAGCCGCCCTGTCATTTCAGCGATCTGCACACATATGGATGTTGATGAAACGCACACTAATCTCATAATGTTGAGATATCTGAATCCCTCCAAGAGAACAACTTTCAAAAAGGAAATAACTGTTGAGAGATTTGTCACTTTTGGAAGTCTTTCCAAAGTGTTGAGGTACTTCATAATGACAGATGGAGTTTGGACACTTACCAGGGAGAACTTGCAGACTTGGATGTAAAGCTGTGTAACTTCTGCCTCTGTAACGGCGACCTCACGGCCTGAGCTATGTTTGTAACTCTCCAGATACGCCGTCAGCCAGTCTCTCTGCAGCTCCCGGCTCGGGTACAGGCTGTAGTTCACGTCGTTCACACCTCCAAACATTGAAGACACACACACACACACACACACACGTACACATGTTAGCAGATCTACTGTCAGTGTTTGAATTCATTTAATGCTTCAGAGATCTAGCTGCTGAACATCAGCTCTACTGCCCTGTCAACACGTGTCGGTTTCACTTAAACTCTTCAGATAATGCTTGAACAACTGTGAACAGTACGTCAAAATCACAGAAACAAACACAGACGAATTATCAAAAGAGAGGAAACATTGGAAACAGAAAATCAGTAACCAGATTTTAAAATCTTAGGAACATAAATTTGATTTAGATAAAAACAGAAATTGTGGACACACTTTTTAATTTCTGCTGGAAAGTAAAAAAAAATACAACATATATTTAAATTATTTTACATCAAACTTTCAATGTTATAGTCAGACTTACATTTAAAAAATGAACACAAACATGGCCTCAATAGTGAAATAAAAGTAATTTAATTGTCCGTGCTAAATCGAGGAGCTTGTGCTCTGCTCAAGGATTTCTATTTGATTGCTTAAATCTGTGCTTTGAATTATTTCAGTTCTTACACTTTGATTTAATTTAACAGATGACATATTCATACTTTTACTAATTAGAATGATTGATGCAGGACGTGACCTTAAATACCTCCTCGACCTTCCCTCTACACACTACATATTTTATACATATATATTTAATTTCACAATACTCCAAGAAGTCATTAACATTTTCATGAAATCTGCAGCAGCTGCAGCTGACAATCGATTTATTAAAATGAAAATGTAACATCTCCTCTACAGAAACAACAGATAAGTAGACCCGGTGTGCATCATCTCAGAGTGTTTTAGCTGTATTGTTGCTTTATTAATAGATGTATGCTAAATGTGTGTGTTAGTGCATGAGTTTTGTCTCATTTAATTTGCATCACAAAGACATTTATTATTACATTATTGCCGTTAAATTCAGTTGGAGCTGTGTGGACATGAAAAGCTGTAAAGTAGATCCAGCGGTGTATTTTAGCCGTATGGTTGATTTATAAAAAGATAAATGGTGAGTTTTGTGTGTCTGAGCTATGCATTCCAGAAACTTGCATCATGCAGCAGTTTCAGGCTCAGAGTAAGTTTGCATTAAACAGAAATATTTCCAACATAGTTGCTTCAAGTTGTGTTGATGTAAAGATTGCTAAGACGTTGGACAGCCCAGCAGTTATATCACATGTCTCATGTACTTATAGGATATGCAGGATGCCTCGGTTAGATTCTAACCCTCTGTGTTCTGCAGCATGTTATTCCCCTCTCTCTATCCAGAGTCCGACTCTATCCACACCGTCTTCTCCTCTGAATAAAGAGCCATACACTCCTCCAAGAGTAAAGTGAACAAAACATGGACAGATGTAAGATCTGAGTTGCACATATGATGGAAGAGTAGATCCAGCATTGATCATCTGACTGACTTTTACCCATACACTTGTGTTGTAAAAATATGTATGCTAAATGTGTGTTTGTGCATTTTAGCCACTCTTTTTGCATCACTACTATTTTAGGGTTTGAACAAGTTTGCATCACTTCAAAATTGTGTTGATTGAAAGAGTGCAAAGTAGAACCAGCAGTGATCTTTGTCTGTGCATTTTAGCAGTTTTGTTGCTTTATAAAAAGATAACTGCAACGTATTTGTGTTTGTGCATCATTTGAGCAAGTCTGCGTTACACAGAAATGTTTCCGACAGAGTTGCTTTTACAATCGCTGTTTCTTTACAGATTGCTGATTTGTTAAATCTCTCGCACCATATAGGCTTTATGGAGGCTTTAGCTGGATGCCTAGGTTCGATTTCGACCCTCAGGGCTTTGCAGCATTTCAGTCTGCATTCTGTCATTTCACTTTATCCCCTCCCCCCAAAAAATTGCATTAAAAGCCCCCCCAAAAAAATACAATAAAAGAGAGTGCAAAGTAGATCAAGGAGTGACCATTTTAGTGCATTTTAGCTGTTATGTTGTTTTATAAAAAAGTTAACTGCAATATACTGTGCACACAGTTTGTTTTTGTATTTTTTTTAGACCCTTTTAGGGGACAAAAGGGTTTCTGACATGTTTCTGACATTATTGCACTTCCAATCGCTCTTTCAGGGTGCGGCCGAGTTTGCATTACACAGAAATATCTCCAACATTATTGCAGTCACAATCAGTCAGAGTTGTGCTGACGTGAAAGCTGCAACTATACGGTTAAATTGATGATTGTTCCATAAATGTTCAACATTAACCCTGACAGGCTTTGCCGGGACACAGCTGGTACATCAAAGAAACATTTATCACCACGCAGAAAAACACTAGCAACACGCCAATTTGTGCCGGCTGCATCAGAAGGAGGACATAGTTCCATTATGGCAGAAAGATAAACGATCTCATAGTCACAGAGGCATCTCAAACTGGACATTGATTCTGCTCATCACACACTGTACAAACAACTTGTGCTTCTCTCAATATTCCATGTTAGATCAAAAATATGCGCGGGCAAATTGAGGTTATTTTTCATAACAACACACACCTACCAGCAAATTCATTGAAGTGATTGCCAATATCGAAGGCCTGGTAGTTGTAATCGGCATACTCGTAGTCAATGAATTTCACCATTCCTGATGGGGGGAGGATAGGGGAGAGAAGCAACGGTTACCACGACAACTTGGCGAGCACTTCTGTACTCGGGCGCACGTCTGAAACCTGAAAACTCCCTGGTTTTTATTGAAAAGTGCAGAACCTTGTGGGAGTCAAAGGAACAAGGAGTCTCTGTCTGACTGAGAGTCACCCCGAGCATCCTTGTAAAAATATGTGAGAGAAAAGAAAACATAATAAAAAGATGAGGTAAGATTTACAATAAAGAAACAAGTTTGGAGAGGTGCAAAGGTTTCCTTCTGTGAGTACAATAAAGGAAAGCGGTATAAAGACTCTGTGAGCTGCATTATTTCTGTCTGATGTGAAAATCTATTTTAATTTGTAAGAAAAGACCGCTCCACCTTTACAGTATTTAGCTTTTTTTAAAGCTTCTAAGATAGAAATCTGCTTCTATTACCACAAAAGTAGCTTTTTCAGTTGATGAAAATGGAGTTAGCGACTCGTGCGGCTGCTCCTCACCCTCTTTGTGGTTGTAGATGATGTTTTTGGTCAGGAGGTCGTTGTGACAGAGGACGGTGGGCGAGTCGATCTGGCAGAGGTGTCTCTGCAGCGAGTCCATTTCCTCTGACAGAGTCTCAAAGCTCGGGACCTCTCGCACAGCTGCAGCACTGCGAGAAGGGAAACTAATGAAATTAAATTTTTATTCATGATGGATGAGCCAAGACTGACATGTGTCATGCTCCAAGAAGAGTCGCTTACAGTTAACTGCACACATCACATTCATGAATGCAAAATACGCCGTGTGAGGTGAGCTGCTGTTTCCAAAGGCTGCAGACAGACAGGAACTTTAGGTATTATGTACCAATAAGATGTAAGCACTCAGTGTTTCATTTTGGTAATTAGACTCAGTTTGAGCCGGATACAGTTGTAGTATTTGTTGTAAATGATCAGAAAATATCAAAAAGCAGTCCTCAGGTTTAATGTTCTGCAGCTGGTATATCCTCAAAGAGATCAACTAGAAAGACGCTTCAATGTTTCCTCATTTAAATCCAGATCTCTGCTTGTTTGTAACTGCAGTCCTGATGTTTTATTGTACGGTAGAGAAGCAAGTTTTTCAGATTCCTCACATGGTCAAACGTGGCCCAACAACAGTATAAATCCTCCAATGCCACCAAAAAGATATTAAAGCTCCTGTGAGGAGTTTCTAACTAATTATGAAACACTTAGAAATGAACACTGCTGTTTCTTTATGACATCACAAATGCAGAAAAGATCATTGCAGCAAGACAAACATCTCCATGTTGATATTTTAGAGGCCTGAAACAGCTGAGGAGGGGGTAGGTGTCGAGTGATTAACTGCACGCTGACAAAGCAGCACTATTTAGTATTCTCCATGGCAGAGTCTTAGTGAGTGATACATTTGACTGTTTAAAGAAAGCAGGATTAGATTTTTGTGTATTTGATTTCACTTTGTTTCATGACCAGCAAAAAAAAAAATCCCTGGAGCATTGTTAACTGGTACTGGGATTTCTTGCTTGCAAAAGTTCTTCAAAAAGCGCAATAAAATGGGGCGCTGGTGGTACAGTGGTTGGTGCGCCCCATGTATGGAGGCTGTTGTCCAAGTGGGCGGCCCGGGTTCGGGTCCGGCCTGTGGCTCCTTTCCCGCATGTCATTCCTCACTCTCTCGCTCTCTGATTTCCGACTCTGTCAACTGTCCTATCTCTCCATTAAAGGCACAAAAAGCCAAAAAATACATCTTTAAACAAAAAAGAAAAAAGCTCAATAAATTGAAAACTTCCTCTGACACACGGTGACTCACCTGAATCCCAGTACTGGTCAACTCTAAAGAATTTGATCCGTCTGGATTGTAGACGAATTATTGTTCTGTAAACGCTGTTAGAGGGCCGACACAATATGGAACAAAAATGTTATAAAGAGACGTCCTGAACATTTCTGTCAGTGGCTGTCATTTTAGTGACCTGTAGAAACCCCTTTGGGTTAATATGGTGTCCTTATTTAAAAAAAGAAAATTAATAAAGTTCTATATAAATCAAATGTACATCATTGCAGCATCTTAAAGACAAACTAAACTTGTGTGAATTTAGAGAAATGTCGACTCAAGTGTGAGAAAAAGTTTCCTTAAAGCCTGAAAACACTGAAGACTAAGAAGGCTCCACATGTTTGTAAACTGCAGCAGCTCAATGAGCCTCCACAAGAGGTCACAAGCCTCGTTTTCTCTCTCCTGAGGACTCCATTCATCACACAGAGCGTCCTTGGACGTCTGGAGTAAATGCTGCACAAGAAGAAGCGCCCGTCTCCTAACAAACTGTCATGTTTCTCTTTTCTATTTCAACACCACCTATTTATTCAAAGGGGAACAAACAGACGCTCTGGTATTATACACACTCGCAGACATAATTTAGTGAGGCCTGTAAGGAACGCACAATAAAAGCAGAGGAGCCCGGCCTTGTTTATCATCTTGATACAGAGGCTCTGCTGCCTTAAACAACTCTCCTACACATCCTCATCAGCACTGCTCATTTCTCTACATCTCCTCTCGTCTTCCTCTCTGCTTTGGAATTATCAAGGGAGGATTGATTTAATAAATAGGACGTCAAAATGTAAAATATCCGCCTGTTAGCCTGCAGACGAGTGTGCAAAAATATACTGTATGCATCCTTTGGAAAATAGAAGTTTTCTGCTTGAGCTGAGATCTGTTTTTTATGAAGTAAAGTTTACTGTGCTAGTTGTGCAAATACTGACAATTTAATTCCAAATAGCACTTGAGAAAATAATCTCTGCACAGAATATATCTGTCAGAGTGTTCCTCTCAAACATATCGGCCTACCAGATCGTTGTTTTGAACTCGACCCCCTCTGACATGCATAATTCATCGATCCCCTTTCTGAGATGAACTCAAAAACAGTAGAATGTTGAATCACCCTGATTCCTTTTCAACCCTTTGCATTTCTTAAAAACCTAACAAAACCTCGACTTTATCATAGAAACCCACGATTACCAGGAGTCGCAAAAAGCGAAATGAAAGACTTGAAGCGTCGACTTGAAATGGAAACCTGTCGTCTTGCCATCAGATCTTTTCCTCTCTCTTTTTCTGGCCTTTTCATGCGAGACAGTGCGTCAAGTGCGTTCGCCTCCTGCTCCTTGTCAAGTCTCTGTAAGGTAATTAGTGGAATTTCCTCCTCTGGCGCTTCATTATCAATGTGCCTTATTTACATATGATTTCAAAACACCAGCCGAGCACTGCTGATTCTTTTTTTCTCCCCCTATCTGCAGTTTTATTCGATTCATGGGAGAGCAAGCGGGAATCACAGCGGGGGGCCTTTTAGGAGGAGAAGAAGATGCTGCACTCTTGCTTTTCTCTCTGACTCCTTGGTCTGTGCACTCTCTCTCTCTCTCTCTCTCTCTCTCTCTCTCTCTCTCTCTCTGAGCCGTGCAGCTGCCTCCCTCTCTCTCTCTTTCTTTGCACAGCGGGTGGCTTGAGAGCTGAAGACCTCCTCTGCAGGTGCAGCCTCTTCCTGCTCTCTCTCTCTCTCTCTCCCTCTCTGCCTTTCTTTCACCGTTTCCTCTGAAGATCACATTCATAGCAGCCCCTCGTACATTCTCAAGCACAAAAGTTTCTCTGATGCCTGTTTAAAACGTCTTTTTTATCCCTCTTAATCCTCACTGTGTGTGTGTGTGTGTGTGTGTGTGTGTGTGTGTGTGTGTGTGTGTGTCTCATGCACTCTCGAGACCAGTAAATATGCAAACAGACACACACCCCATAGATGTGAGTTTTAACCATAAATTAGCCTCTCATAAATTATGCTTTAGCACTTTTCTTTTCCAACAGTATGTATTCTTTTATGTATCAAATTATTTATATTTTCTTAATTCATCTTTTCTGAGTTGTTTTCTCGTCTGTGTCTGAGCAGCAGTGGACTCTGTAAAGCCTCTCCTTCACACAAAAGCCTCACAATATAGCACCATCTATTGGGCCTCATAATGAGGTGCAGTCTGAGTCTTCAGCCGCATTAAAGAGCGTCCTGATTCAACCATAAACTCGTCACTTCTGGTGTCACATTGTAGCAGGCAAAGAATAACACTTTGTGCAAATAAAGACTCTTAAAGTACTTGTGACTCATGATTATAAACGGATCTGCACTGAGAGACAGTTCAGTTAAAAAATAAAGAAAATAGTCGATGTAAAGTCAGACAAAGGCCTTCAGTAATAAGATAAAAATAAATCCTTTCAGAAATTGTATGAAATATCTCAAGTGAGAGTCAGAGTTTCTTTCCTTATCAGTTTATGTTTCTAACATAATCATGTCATTCTTACAGTCACTGTCTGAGGTCATATCAGGTTGTGTTTCTTCACTATATGTGGTCAGGTTTAGGGTTTTCACGGTATCTCATATTTAAACTTGAAGGTCTAACTACCTGTTTTGATACTACGGCAACAAATATAGAAGTCATAGCAACCAGCTCGTGATGATTTCTTGTTTTCAATTTTTGTGTCAGGCTAACTCCTGCACAGCGTCTGAACGTTGCTCTCTCTTTTCTTGCCTGCAGCAGCTTTTAGTTATGACTGAAGATCGGAGGTTTTTTTTATTTTTTTTAAGCTTTGGTGCCTTTTCATTCTTTTTGATCGAATATTAAAATAACTGAGATGTGATTGTGTTAAATCACATGTTGTCAAAAAGTATCAAGGTATCAAAAATCCTTACAAACCACAAAAATTTAAATTGTCCATCCTTTAAAAAGCCTCCAAAAAATAGAAGTCACTCAATCCACGCTTTTTTAATCACAGCAGAAATTGACAAAAATATTTGAATTAAAAACTTCTCTTGAGATGCTAATCTTAAAGGATGTGTGAACTCTGAGATTTGGGGAAGAACAAATTGCACAATAAGAAAAGAAAGCTTTAAGATTCAGATTATCTGCAGAAAGGAATAACCTCTGATCCTAAAGGTCTAACTTCAGTTACTCTGAATGTTTTTAAATCTCTACCCCCCCAACCCCCCCGCCGAAGAGTAACCCAAAAGCCCCTAACACTTCACACTAATGTCACTTTATACAGACTTTATAACTTCTCATCAGTAACACAGAATCATGAGTCACTTTAAAAAGACAAAAGGATTGAAAACACAAATTCAATTCTTTCATTTAGTTTTAGAGTCTTTGCCTTCATTTTTATGTTTATTTCATGTCCATGCACCTTTCTTGTTGCTGTTGTTGTTTTTTTGAATGCACATCTTTTGCATATAGTCTTGTACTTCTGTTTATCTGTTCTTTATCCATAATTGGTTATTTTAGATTTTTAAATACGTCCAGGACATGACAAAAAAAATGACAATAAAGATTACTTTGACTTTTATGTTGTCTCTTCATCTTTTTATTTTTTTTTAAAGATATGGACAGCTGAAGAGAGACAGGAAGCGTTGAGAGGAGAGAGAGGGGGGCTGACATGCAGCAAAGGGGCTGAGGTCGGACTAGAACCCACAGCCACTGAAATGAGGACTAAAGCCTCTGCACATGGGGCACGCAGTATACCCACTTGGCCATCAGCGCCTCATGTTGTCTCCTAATTTTTCCTGCATTTGTCTTTAATGTAGCACTACTCTCTAACGTGATGCATATGGAAGAAGATGGGTCACAGCACATACCGTCATTGACGTTAACGATTGGCATCAGCATAGTTTTAAGGAGATTAAATCCATTGCTCATTAAATTGTTAATTGATTTGTCATCGATGTAATACACAGAGAAACAGCTAACATCTATGATCTCTCAGCGTTTTTCTTTTTGGACACTAATCTGTGAGTGTGATGAGACCGGACATGTTGCCATGCGGTGAAACTAAAAGATGTTGGAGGTCAGGTTATTGCACAAACCTGATCTCTGAGGTTTTGCCTCTTCTATTCTTTTCCACTCAGTGTGATAAACCTAAAGCTTAAACTAAAGACATGTAAAACTGGATTTCTTTTGAACTTGTTGGACTTTTGTCCGTCTGCATCCAAGAAGCTCAGACGTTTTATCATAAGAGACTGTCTCCTCCACAATCCTTGTTTTTTTTAACAGAAGCCTCTCTCTGGAGCTAAACTGCTTTTGGTCTATTTGATAAAACTCAAAGATGAAACTCCAGCCGCTCCGAAGCGACTCTCCAGCTTGAGTTTGCGTGGACTTCCGACCCCTCCACACAAACATAAACATGTCTGAACGTTTGACCGATAAGGGAGAGCTCTGCAGGAAGCTTGTGGCCGAGCTCTGTTTCTTTGTACTGTCTGAAAGCCCCACACTCACCTCTAACCCTGTGAACCCCTGTCAGAGATAACGCAATGTCAATGCCAAGCAGGCCCCGCCCCCGCCTCCTCCCCCAGACCAATGACAGCTCAGTGTGAGCGGCTCTATCCACATGGGGAGAGAGGTGAATGTGCAAACTCGATCTGATCTCCAGCTGCTAAAAGTTGAGGTTTAGGTGGGCAGGTTTGATAAATGTGCTTTATGCATGTGAGAAAATGATAAGACATCAGTGGAAGTGCTGCTGCCTGAAAGCTAGAGATGTGGAGAATGTTGCTGGTTTCCATCAAAAAGATGACGTGAAGCTGATCAGTTGGCCTCCCAACACAAGCTGGATATTCAAACTGATCTTATTTGCAGTGTTGTCCAAAAAAAGAGACATCTCTCTCATCTCGATCAATCCGTCCCTCACCTGATAGAACAAGTGACCATGCTAAGACCCGCACCCTCATACTTACTGTGGCCAAGGTTCACACAGGCGGCACCCTCTGATGTTGAAAAGTAAAACAAACTGTAAATATTAATGGACAAAGCCATCTGTTCCTGCAGGGGGCTTCGGAGGATCATCAGCAGCAGCCGCCATAATGGATATGCTGTCTCAGCCTAACTTTGAGTCAACCTAACGACAGGCTGAGAGCTGGAGCTGAGGCGGGTTTTAAGCCCCTTAACAAACCGTAACATCGCGCCCACCTGTCGATCATTTCTGCTACAAGACTAACTATGGATAACACGTATCGTTAATAAAATCAAAACGGAGACGTTTAAAAAAAAATATCACCCCCTTACAGTGTGTGACCATGATGACAATAACTAATCAGCTCTATTTAGTTTTTTTCAACCAGGCTGTAAACATGTTAATCTAGGCTGTAAAAACTGTTTTTTTTTTCAGTCATGTGTTTGTGACTTTCAGTGTTTCCTGCATTCAGCCTCAAGTGGACACTCAAGGAACTGCAGGATTTTGCACTTGGCTTCATTTTCAAGACCGGAGGATGCCGCTTGGAAAAAAAAACTGCAGTTGTTCAAGTGTCAACTTGAGGTTGGCTCCACAAGACCCAGAAGTTACATACACCCTCCATTGCAATGTAATGGTTTGTCAATAGGCTTAAAAACCCGCCTCAGCTCCAGCTCTCAGCTGAAAGTTAGGTTAGACAGCATTTTCAGCCAGGTGACTGCCATCTAAGGGCTTACAAAGGGCCTCTGCAGTAACAGATGCGTTACACCACTAAGGCTTCATTCACTATTATTTACAGTCTATGGTTTTACATCTTCAGAGCACATTATGGAGTTCTGAATGAGTCGATGGTGGATAATGATTCTACATTTCTGAAACAAAAGTTTGATCCTTCTTCGACCTGTGATAAAATCCTTCTCATACTATCAATTAATAACGATTACCTGCTATTAATTAATACAAAGTCTGTAATTAGTTTTTCTTCAATCGATTGTCAGCAGTACTTTCTAATTTAATCTATCCATGACAGTTTAATAGTTGTCATGGTTAAGGATGGCGGTTTATTTCTTTAACCAAAATTCTGTTAGCCACAAAAAAAAGGATTTCAAACTTCATACAAAGTTATTGACCAGCTGTAAAACTTTGCTTTTATAACTACAGAAAATGTCATTAAAATCACACTGTATCTGTTTCATGTCCTGCTAATACTTAGTGACGCAGATTCCAGAGCTGACTTAGGAAAGTTTAGGCTTAAGCTTTGCAGAAATCTAAAAAAAAGAAAAACAATCTCCACTCTTTGTCATCACCTGAAAACCCCCATTCACAACAAGACTGAGCCTCTCTCTCTGTTTGCTCCACATTACTTTGTGTGTTGCAGGTGTTCTATCTGGAAATTATTGTTAACACACATCATTATTAAATTAATAGTGAAAAAACTGATCATGCAAAATGTAATGTGGCTCAGCGAAGCTACAGCTGGAGTGAGCAGTGAAAGAGAAAATCATTCCTAGTGCTGCTGCACAGCTGTTGGAGGCTCTGGTTGCATTTCAAATATTCAGAGACATTGAATGTTTGAGGAGAAAAAATGCTCAGAAGACCATCAGAAATCCGACATTTTGCCGGTACCTTTTCACGCAGCGCTGCTGAGCCGGGCTGCTGTTCGCGCTGCTCTGCACCAGTGTGAGAAAGCGGGACATTTTGCTCCAGAGTAGAGGTTCAACGGGACGACCACATTTTGGCTGGATGGAGTGGATTCTCCCCATCTCAGCCGCGATCAATCTGCAGAGAGAAAACATTTTCTCAGATGAGCCTGGCTGACACTGTTATTGCACAAAACAACCATTATCAGAGGAGCAACACAACTCCCTTTCCATTTAGCGCTCTTATCTTCTTCTGCTTCTCAAGAAATGGGCCTCGTTGCACTCGTGACCTTTTGACTACTTAAGAGCTCGTTCTTTACGCTTCTTAGTCGTGTCATAAAGTTCTCTGGGTTCCCCCACACGGGGTATCAGGCACAGTGAGGAGATTGATGTGTGTCGTGGCCCTGACTGCGCCGCCTCGGCTGGCTGTGTTGTGTCCCTCCGTCCCGAGCTGAGAGTTATGATGCCGATCATGTTATCATGGGGATGATGAATTAAATGTGGGGCACGGCTTAACAACATTGCTCAATTTGAAACATGACTCAGCTGAAATAATAATAAAAAAACACCTGCGTCAGCACAATTGAAATGCTCAACATAAATATGGACACGCATACAATCACACACCAATGACCTGCAACATACATCAACTGTTTTCCGAGTGAATGGATGTTCAAGGCTTTCACTTTAATCTAAATAAACCTGATGAATGTTTAAAGTTTGACTGCCGCATGGACCTGAGAGTAGGGATGTTCCCAGCAACTCATTTCCCTGTTGATTAAACTGAAATTAAAATTCAGACAAGTCGACTAAAGGTGAGAAAATGCTCAGAAAACCGTCTAAAATGAGCATAATAAACGCGGCTAAATCTGTCAAAAGCAGCATACATGTAGTCTATTTATTTGCTGTTCAAACTGTTCATCACAGCCTTCATTTGCTAAATTGATGGCTATTTTAAACGAGCTGAAACGTAAATGGTAAATGAACTTGAGCTTGTATAACTCTTTTCTTGTCTTCTGACGACTCAAAGCATTTTTACACCACAGGTCACACCTACACATTCACACACTGATAGCAGAGGCTGCTGAGTAAATTGACCATCAGTATGAATTCATTCAGCAACTTGGGGTTAAGTGTCTTGAGCCCCCAACCCTCCAGTTGAGAGATGACAGACTCTACCGCTGAGCCACAGCCAGCTGCGACGTGCATTACTCTGCAGGTCAACAATGTCAAAATTGATTTGCAGAGTGTAGCTAACGTTAGCAGTTCTAGCAACTGGTCCTCCCCGCAGGTTAACGTCCTCATGCCTGTTACTGAATGTGGTCACGTATTTCTCCAAAAGACGCTGCTCCTACAAGATGACATCCATCCACAGTGCTGGTTTACATTCAGGAAGTGGAGCGGGGAGACCTGCAGAGCTACAGCCCCATCTTGTGGCAGGTGGCTGCACTACAGCTTCGACACAACATGTAATCAGCGTTGTGGGACTACATTCATGAAATGTATTAAGAAGTGGTTAAAAGGACGAGGAATTCTGGTGCCGACTGGCAAGGGTGACACTGTTTTTATTTGATTAGTCGGTTGCCTGAAAGTCTGATGTTTAGCTCTTGTTTTATACTAAAGGCGTTGTCAAGCCAGCTCAAATTTATTTTATTTTTTTCTGTTTTCTTTCTGTATAGAATTGAGACAAACATGTTTCATACAACCAAACAATTGATTATAGAATAGCACTCAGTGCATGTTTCTAGCTTTATGAACGATATCTTCAATAAATTCAATTTCTATGCTCTAATATTTCATTTACAGGATCCTATGACGTTAACAGTCTTTATAACACTGCCTTCAAATTCAATTTTTAATGTGCTTGATACTTTTTTTTTGGTTTCTTTTCATAACAGAAATTTATTAAAAACTTTATTTATTATAAATAAAGACCAGCTTTATCAAAAAAGGTGTGTTTTTTTTTTAGAACATTGATTTCTATTTGAAGATCTGGATGATTTTGAATAGTTTTTTTATAATGATGTTATACAAATACTTTTTCTTTTAGAATTATTAGCTATTTCCAGTTTTGTTTTATACTACCGAATACACTTTTTTAAAGGCAAACTTTAGGGTAAAGTTGAATCTCATGCCAGTTACCACTGGGAATTTGAACTCAGATGTTAAAACAAACAGTTCATTCAGGCTCAGCTCACCATCTCTGATCACATCCAGCTCACAAAACGAAATGAGTGAAACTTTAAAAGCTGTTCTGGCAGAGACCTGTAGATGGAGGGCTGTCGGAGCAGCTCGTCGTCCAGCACTGTCCCTCTCACAAACTCGTAACAGATGCCGTTCTGGAAGCTGCAGTAGATCTGCGGACCGCATCCGTGGGCGTGGAGCACCTGGAACATTTCCACCTCCCGGTCCCTGTTCACGTAGAGCTCCGTCATGCGGCCGTAGAGACGCACCAGAACACAGCCCGGCTCCTGCAGAGAGCCCACAAAGCAGCCGATCAGCTGGTTGGTGATTCCCTCAGTGAAGGTCTGAAATCACAAAGTGGAGAACACATTTAGCTGGTGAACAGCAGTTAAACAGTCTAAGGGAACTAGGGTCACAAAACCAGAATTTGAAACTTCATACAGTTAAAATCTAATGATATTGGTACCTGTTTGGATACTACAGGAACAAAAATATAAATCTTACGGGCCCACTATTGAGTCACTTCTTGTTTTTTATGACCTGAAATTGCATCCAAGTCCTGAAAACAGTCTGACTTTGACATTAAAAACATCAGTATTTACCAATTTGTGAATTTGAATGGACAGCCACAGCTCTCTCTCTCTATAGAGTTTAGCAGTGACTGCCCACTTTTACATCGGCTCTGGTTCTGGAACAGAGAAATAGGAAACGGTACAGGACTGGGTACACGTTTTTTTACACAGAGTGAAGGAACTACCCATCACACAGTCCATTTCTTTTTAAATGTAACATTTGACAATGTTAGAGTTTATACTGTAAATATAAGTGTTGTAATATCTTGTAGTTTGTGTTGTTGAATATTTAAATTACATTCACTGCGGCATAACAAGGTTAATACTACAATTCATGCTAGCTAACTGATTAGCTAGCCTGCTAGCGAAACTAACTGTTCGCATACTATTTTTGAGGGTTGATTTAAAAGATGTCACTAATTCTTTGAGCCTGATCTCCTCAGACAGGTTGTTCCCCAGCTGATGAGCCCTGAAGGTAAAAACACGACCTCCTTTAGATTTAACCCTTAACCTACAGGAATAGCCAGAAGGGCCCCACCTGAGTATCTGAGGCAGCTAGCCGGCTCTTAAGAACTCACTTCTGTAGTCTTTGAAGAGCCCATTAAACTTCAATCAACTATGACTTTCTAAGAAGATTGTAAAGTGGTTCTTTAGTGCTACATTACAGATAACGATGATAAGACTCTGACAACACAAACTACTGTAAAAGAGGAGAATGCCCTTTTATGATCTCATGTTTTGGTAATTAAAGATAATAAATGACCCGATATAGGTTATCAAGGACTTTTATATTTGTTGCCGTGGTATCAGAACAAGTATAGATATCTTTGGACTTTTACAAGTATTATATCCAAGTTCGAAATTCTGTTGTCATGGTGACAACCTGACAACAGACAAGTAAACTGATGGCAAATCCAGATTCATGTTGATCAGAGGTCAAAGTATTATTGGGTTTGAACGACTCAAAAGAAAGTTTTTCGTTTTTCTCGAATGATATTTCATCTTGAGTTATGGGTTGTTCTATTGCTGTTTCTTTAGACTGAATCAAAAAACACAACAGAAAGTGAATTAATCTAGGCTTAACTTGTAAGTGAAAAAAATAACAGACAAATGTGTCGAGGTATAAAAGCAAAAGCAGGTTAATGAAGGTTAAACAGATGTTGAACGTCAGAGCGCTGAACCTGTTACAGATCACACTCCCTCCACAGTGTGTGTGTGTGTGTGTGTGTGTGTTACTGTGTCTGTGTCTGTGTGTGTGTGTGTGTATGTGTGTGTGTGTGTGTGTGTGTGTGTGTGTGTGTGTGTGTGTGTGTGTGTGTGTGTTTGTGTATATTACAGACCCACTGTGACCACTGTTTGCTTGCTAAGGCCTCATCGGGCTTTTGTTGTCATTCAGTGGTTTCTCTCTCATTCTCTGCCGCAGTCCCTGAGCTGCTCTCTGAGCCTCAGACGGACTCAGCACACAACAGCTTTTCATCAAGACGCAGAAAGAACAAACACGTCCACCTTGACATCTGATAAAGTATTTATGATGTGAAGTCAGAGACAATTTACTCCCTAACACTGCCTTTGACATGATTTCCTTTTGCCATTGAGTTCCATGCATTACTTCACAAGTCAGTCAAGTTTTACTGTGTGATGTACTATCCCTATCTTCAAAAATATATAACAGAGTGTTGACCTCAAAACTAGGGCTGTCCACATCAGCACCGCCTTGATCGTGATGCCATTAAGGTCAGGAATAAAATTAAAGCATTAATATCTTAATTGCATTAATCGTGAGCCATTTTGTCCCATTCGGTGCACCATCTTTAATCCACTGTATATTGTGTTCTTGCAGGCAAAGTGATGGAAAAACTTGACAACTCGGAGTCATTGAATGCCTCATTTGACTTAAAAAAAAAACTCCCACACTGCTCAGTTGATGAATCTAAAGTACATATATCCACCTTCTGACATCAAACATTCATAATCACTCACTTTTATAATGTTCCCATTAACTATTTTCTTTAACTTTTGGATCTGTAAGGATTTCCTTTTACTGTGGTTAAGTTACGGCCGTAACATTCGATCTACCAGTTCCTTATTTTATTTCAAAGAAAAGCAGGTTTGGATCCAAACAGGAAGGAAAGCAAACCTAGCTTAAGAGAGTACAAAACACAGAATGAAAGCGTAACAAAAACTGTTCTGAAATGAAAAGTAATGGAACTTCAAATATGTGATTAAAAATTGAATAAACATTTAGCCATTATCTTACAGACCTACTAATAAAAAAACTATTTTATGCTATAGTGCCAAACAAGCAATGCAAAAATTAACCATGGGTAGGCTTTCACAACCTTGGGGTTGTGGATTGGGCGTTTCATGGAAGACTCGGTAAGTGACCTAGCACCAACTTCCATATTTTGGTCCGCACTGGGACCAAACTGGGAACCGGTGACCTTCTGGTACCCAACCCAAGTTCCTACAGACTGAGTTACTGCCGCCCCCTTTACTTACAGTCTATCAAACACTCCACTGCAGCATCCAGGCCATCTGTTTCCACAAATTCACTTTCTCTGTGACGATCATCTGACAAGCATCTCTCTGCTGTGTTACCTTGGCGACGTTATCATGAATAAAAGAGAATAACATGGAGCTTTTAAAACGGACATAAGAGTCACAACCGAGGGAAGCAGAAGTTCACTTTTGGAAGCAATGAGTGCAAGTGAGAAGCACTTTGGGCACTGCCAGCACAAATAGCGCCTTCAGTGGACATAGGGTTTTATAGCGTTAATCTGAAAGACTAGGGGGTTTAGAGAAAACCAGGCATGCACTGCTTTTCTCCTCATTCTGCTGCCTAGCTCACCAGGGCTGTTTTTTTCTGTAAACAGGTAAAGCGTCACAATTTATGTATCCAAGGGATAAAAAAATATTTTTTTTTAATCATTCGTTAAAAAAATCCAGATACTTTAGTGAAATGATTTTTCCTGAGCCCTAGCGGACAGTACGGTACCAAAAGAAAATGTATTTTCCTTTACATACAAGTGAACACAATACATCATTAAAGGGCCTGCTTGGGGTCCAAGGACTGAAGGGAAACATCCACTCTTTTGTGTACATTTCTGGACCTGCTGCAGATTGAGAGGTCACTCACCCAACGTGCTGTCACCTGACAAACAGAAACCCTATTTCTCTAAAAGATTGGACCTTGTGTTTGCACATGGGACCAGAAAGGAATTATTGTGTTCTGAACAGCTGCTCCGGCAACACTGCTCATCTGTTCCCAGGGTCATGAAAATAATAATAATCATATGGTCAACTGTTGTATCCAGTTACCTTGGATTATCTTGCAGTTTTAAAATGTGTTTTTGCCATACAGTATGTACAGAGGTGATATTTCAGGTTTTTTTGGAAAATGTATTTTTCATTTATACAAAAGCATGCTGTTATTTTGTGTTCCTTAGAATAAATCTTAAGAAATGATCACAATGTAATTAAAAAAAAAAGAGTTTGTAGGTGTTTAAGAAGGGGTAAGATGAAGAAAACAGAAAATCTGTTAGTGTGCAGTCTGGACCAAAATGTGTGCTTGACAAAAACAGGATTAAGAACGTCATCCATCCTGCTACACAGAGGATCAAAACATGCAAAAAAAGAAAAGGGTTGCCAATCAACAAGTTGGATGCCAACCACATGCTGCATGAAGATGTTTGAAAACAGCGTAGCATCTATGGGTTGTTTTCCCTGAATTGTATGAAATGGTGTGCAATCTTTTTCTGTGGGTGTGTCTGATGTTTAATCTTTTCAGCTACACTCAGTTTAAAGGATTTTGTGATTGATCTCCTCAACATAATCAGCAACAGGCCATTTGTTTTCTCAGTTGAACCAAGGGGCATTCTCTAGTGTGGATGAATGAAGCCAATGCATAAGTTCAGAAAACCTGCAGTTCGTCGAGTGTCCACTTGGGGTTGGCTGCAGAAGCCCTGAAAGTCATCCATTCAAAAAAGCCAGTTTTTACACCAGAAATTGACAGGTTTCCAGCCTGGTTAAAACAAATAGGTCTGATTATCTCATGTCTCAATTGTTTAGTTGATAAGGTGCGTAGCTGCCCTGATTGACAGGTGGGTCATGTAACAGTTCGTCAAAAGGCTTAAAAACCCGCCTCAGCTCCAGCTCTTAGCCTGTTGTTAGGTTGACTGAAGGTTAGTTTGAGACAGGATTTCCAGCATGGAGACTGCTATCAATGGGACTCCGAAGCCCCCTTTAGTAACAGATGGGTGACGTCACTCACGGTTCATCCCTTAATATTTACAATCTTTGACTCTGACCTTTTGATTGAAACCTCATTTGGCCAATAAAAACCTTTCAACCACTGATCATAGGCTTCTGTAGCCAATGAGAGCCGAAGTAGAAACAGGCAACTCAGTAGTGCTGCACACTGGCGCCTTGTAGTGGTGAGAAGTTTTAACATCTTTCTCAGGAGGATGCCGGTATATGATACAGATGTGACTGTTAATTAAAGAGTTAAAACAGGATGTGCAGTCTAGCCTCCTCGGAAAATCAGGAGCAAATGAGGTCAGCTTGGCCAAAGATGAGGTCAGCTTGGCCAAAGTGAATACATGTTACGTAAAACAGGCATTGAGAGAACAGACTTACCAGAAGTTAAATGTTCCAATAGTCGTTTTTTTAAAATGACCATCCACTTTTAAAAACGTATTTTAAAAAATGCTGATAATTCACAATTAACAAACGTGTGCCCAGCTAGTTGTTTTAGTTTGAAATATGACCTGATGTTACAAATCGTCACCATGTACTGGCTTTTTTAAAATGCTGATCAATTCTAAAGTGGGGAAAATACTAATTTGTCAGAAAATCCATAATTTACAGGATTTGCGTTTTAGACACATAACAAGAGCATCTGACTTTTCAACCTTGACTATAAAGTCATAGAAGTTTCTGCTGTGTGAACATGATCCATTTTTACTAATGTATGAGTACCTTTAAATTAGATTCAGTTAGTATTGAATAACTGGTGCTGAGAACTCGGGGTCAACCAAACAATCACTTGCCTTAATCTGAACGTCTTCTGCCTTCCAATGAGGACGGAGTCTGCTGAGGAGCTCCAGGATTCCTCGAAGAGATTCCTGCTCATCAATGTGGATGTCCACATGTAGAAGTGGATTCCCAACACAAGCAGAACATCTGTCCATTTTCAAACTTCCAAACTTTTAAGTCTAGAATGTGTTGAGAAGCTGTTCCAACAAAGTCCTACTCAGGTTATAAGAACAGCTGAGTTATGTTCAGTTTAGCCAGGCCATTAAAACATCATCCAAACATTTGTCAAGAACCTGGAGAGCCAAATGCACAAAATCCAGTGAAGTAACCAAAAAAGTGAACAACAAGCTCCAAGATCTGCTTTATCTGAATAACCTGAGAGCCATCAGTGGTATCTCAAATGGTCCACGCGTGTGTCCAGTGACTCAGCAGTCAAGCTTGCTTATCAGGGGCCAATGTTCCTATGGGCATCTTCACAGCCGCACTGCAGAGTTTACACATTAACCACTGGTGGTCAGAGCTCTAGGTGTAGTGTTAAACACAACTCAGTGGGAAAAGTAACCAACCAAGGAAAACAAACATGGAGTTACATTCCCTGTAATGATCGTGCTCCAGTTAAACCAGACTCTCTCAAGACTTCTATTTGATCATTTAACCATAATGCACCTTTATATAAAAAAGAAAATTCCTGAGTACATAAAATTGCTAATTAATTCTGTTGTTAGAAATCTTCAGTTTGTTTTGATTTTTGCGACCACTGTTAAAAAGACGCAGCACATTTTATCTCTTGGTTGATCTGGTCCTGTACATGTTCTTTGTTTAAAACACTCAGTTTGAGCAGTCAAACACATTACTCTAATAGCGCTTTCGCTCTTGCAGAAAACTCCTGAAAAACTCCAGATATTACCAGGAGGAGCTGCATGTGTGAACGCAAACAGTCATATTTTTCACTCGGACTTTACTTGGAGTATCCGCTAAAATGCCAAATTAGCTGATGTGAGAATACAACAGGACATTATCCGCAGACTGCACCTCAAATCAGTGGGAGGGGGTGGTGACATTTATATCCTGTGACCGATGCATGGTGCATAGATCGTATGCACTAGATGCTACGATCTCTGTGCACGTAATTTAACTTCTGCATTATATTTTCTGTTCGTCAGTTTGTTCTTGATTCTGTTGAACTACACGTAGCATTGGTATGAAGGCAAATTACATAGCGCCGTACTGTAAAGCGGACTCTGTTGCTTTGTCTGCCAGTTTCGTGCTGATTATTCTCTGTGTTGATACCTTCGTTTAAATGCTTTATTCGTAATCTGCTACGGAGAACAAAAAAAAGGTCTGCATGCTGAAAATGGCTTACACTGACCTGGAATCAGTAGTTACAGGCATTAATATATATATACAGTATATGCTCAATTGGAGCTGTAGCAGTGATGAAGGCGGACAGAACAGTAGGTTAGAAGAGCAGACAGGAAAAGGAGAGCAGCTTTGAAACATCGTCATCATCATATTACAACAAGGCTAGCTAAGGAAAAACGAGCTAGCTGTAGCTCACATGCGTAAGCTGAGAATGTAAAGGTTAAAAATGTGCACTGAGGTAGTAACTAAGTTGAACAATCGAGTCAAAATATGCCTTACAGCAGATATATTTAGGTCATATTTAATGTTTTTCACCATATAGCACATATTATATTGCATATGGTTGAACATGAAATAACCCTGCAAATTGTTTGAGTGCATTGTAGCATCTGTATTAATTTCAATCTGTGGTATAATAACTAAAACTCCTCACTCTGTGTGTAAATAATATACATTTCAAGTGTCAGTGACCTGCAAGAAAGAAAGTCTTCAATTTAATTACCTTTTAATGACTAGATGTTTAAACAGTCTACACTGTCTGGAACAAAGATGAGAAAACTTGTCTCCAAATTGAGCTCCACATATTCTCTCTGCTTAAACTGAATCTCTCTCTCTTTCTCTCTGCAGTCATTTCAACACAGATACTTGATGCCCCTCCACGCTGCTCCAACATCACAAACTGGGCAAGCTGCAAACATCACTGCGGCAAGTCCCACAAGGTTTATGCAGAATTTTGGTGACAGTTTCCTTCATTGAATTTCAGTCAAGCTTAAAAGTATGCAAACGACAAAAGATGGGGCCACTAAAATGAGTTTAGATTCTGTTAATATTTTTCAGATGCTTTACTTTTGGCCTCTGTGCAGCACCACTTTTAATGGGTGGAGTCTATTGTCCGCCCCAAGTGGTGGTGACATCCAGAGGACCCATTTAAACATCAAACAATTACTTCATTCAAACATGACCTTTTATGCTCCTTCAATGCCACAGAACATTTCAACATGATCATTCTGTAAACACAAAACGAAAATTTCATAAACATTGGAGCAGCATGTTTTTCAGCCTGTTAAATTATTTAGATGTTGGGCCAATGTTTTCCATTTTGCATCATTACAGTAATTGCCTAGAAGTCACGAATGCGGTGATCATCTTGAACCGAATACTTTGCAAGCTTTTAGACGCAAATGAAATTCGCCTGCCATCAAAGGACGTCTCATCATCAAAGATGTTGTGCATTGAACGAGAGATGAGTGTGGAGATTAAAAATGTAAGGGTCAGGCTGTAGAATGGAGCAGGGGAGTGGGTGTTTGTGTTGCTGCATGCACCTCTCCAATAATGCTGAACAAGAGGGCCGGCTGAAAAGAGATGACACAGACAATAACCCATGCATGCATTAATATACTGTTCTGACACTTTTCAGACTCATTCACTCACTGTGCGCCTGGCTCCTTTTCTTCTCCTTCCTGCCGATTGTTGACGTGGAGAATGCAGACATTAACTTTTGGGCCTTTGAGCCTTGAAAATTAATCATTTATAAAAGGATCAACAAAGTATCAGTTGTGTTGAAGACAGCATGAAAGAGTAACAAAACGAAGTTAATGTTGCTGGAGTTTCTCTAGACTCCTTGACATTGCTTTGACGATAGATTTTTTTTCACTGAAGTCAAGCAATAAAACATGAGCTACATCTATTCAACGTCATGTGGAAATCAAAAGAGAGGAAGGAGAAACGAGGAGAGCAATAGACTATTTTTATTATTTGCATATTTTTATATACTGTATAACCTCATTTATATATCCTCACCTTTCCGTCTATTCAGAATTCAAATTCAAATGTTCTGGAGCAGTGCAGAATTTTGATGGAGAAAATCCGTACAGGAAATTTCAATAGAGCAGAGGTCAGCCAAATATGAGCCTAAAAAAGATACCCTGGACTAACAGGAGCTACAGTAAATTAAAGAGGACATATTATCCCCCTTTTCCACCTTTTCAAACAGTCCCCTTTGGTCTTAATGAAACATCTGTGCTGTGCTTTGGTCAAAATATAACATGAATCAAGCACCAGAGGAGGTTTGTGACCCTGTATAAACCAGCTCTCTCAGAACGCTCCGTTTTGGTGTGTGTGTCTCTTTAAATGCAATGAGCTTCCCCTGAGTTTTCCTGGTAGACATCACTCCTCTGTAGCGAGAATAAAAATGGTGGACCTGTACAAAAGTTTTGCTCTAGGCTGGGGGTGGAGTCCATGGGTGGAGATACCCAGGGGAGGGGAGGGTAATTTTTAAATCAAGAATCCCACTGTGACATCACAAGGAGAGCAAATTTGAAATGGAGCATTTTTCTCTGTGTTGTAAGACTTATGCAGACCACAAACAAAGGACTGGATGGATTTATTTTACATTTTTATTGGGTCAGTAGACACTCAAATATATGTATATAATAAGAACACTTTCAAAGTGGATTTTTCATAATATGTCCCCTTTAAATCATTTGAAAACACATGCTGCTTCAAAAAATAAAAAAATAAAATCGGGTTGCAATGTTATATGTATGTCTACTGACAAATATGTCCAGGTTACTAATAGGGATGTTGGACTTGTTCAAAGGTTAGAAAACTCACAAGCACAACTTATTTAACAATGCTAAACACAGGATCACAGCATCTGCGGGTAAACAATATCAAAATGGTTTGCAGCGTATGGCTAGCCATAAGCGTCCACACTCCTGCGCTGCTTACACACTGCTGCAATTGATATGCTAGTTTAACCCGACACAGCCTACATACAACTATATCTCCATTTTACCGATCGATTATGTACTCCGCCAACTGTGCTGGTTAACATCAGGTCTTAAAGCATTATGAAGCTATCAAATGGAGCTACAGCCCCGGCTAGTGGTGGATGATTGCGTTACAGCTTAGACACAACATGTGATGGGCATTGTGGGCCCATCACATGTAACACAAAATATAAATACCATAAAATCTGAATTTAAGTAGCACTGGTAAATGAGACATGGTCTGGTTTTGGGGGGGTCTCCTGGAAAGAAAATAGGTCCAAACTGTCTTCCTGCTTGACCATTTCAGTTGCATTCAGCAAAGCCCACAACGTGCAGTTTTTGGCTTTTTTACTTTCTCCATGTGGATTTTGCACGCTCCATCTAGCTAGCGTGCTGGTAATTTATCTCTCAGCATGCAGTGATTGTTCAGTACATACCCGCCATAGCGCTGCCTCCCTCTGCTGGTCTCTATTCTTTAACTGAGGAGCCCTTTCAATCAAACCCACAGTTTTCCTTAAACACATAATTATCTAATGAAGAAGAAAAGCTGTTAATAGGTGGCACAGCCAACCTGGTCTAGCAGTACTTAAGTTAACTGACTTGTTAGATGTTCCCAAGGAAACATTGAACATGTGGCTGCAGGAGCTGATTATCGAACCCCTAACCTTTTGGTTCGGAGACGTCCGACTCTACCAACTGAGCCACGGCCGCCCCTATTGAGGTGCAATACCACCTCTTTATTTGGATCATTTGAAGTGTATATTACAGATGATAAGTGTAAATAGAATCTCAGTAATGCTTGGAGATGCAACCTAAGAGCCGTTACAGAATTGGAAAAATTTGATGTTTTTGATGCATTTTTGGCTTGAGATGACCGGTTTTAGACCATTTTGCAACAAACTTGCCCAACAGAACAAGTTTAGATAAATGTTTTCTTTTTCTCAGGTAATATTTAATTATTTGTTTCTCTAATGCATACAGAATACTCAGTCCATTACAGCTGAATCCCTTGTAAAGAAACATAAATAACATTTATAAAATGTATTTCTA